CACAACAGAACTGGTTAATTTTTAATAATACAATTGAAACATTAAAATATAATCCTTCTTGATACCAACTTTCTTCCAGACCCTGAAAACCTTTTTCTTAATAACTTTCTTTCTGAATTATCTCTTTATTCCTGAAGCTTATTTTTTCTTAAAAGCTAGAAATACTGAGGCATACTTTTGATTATTTTATATGTACCAACTATATACATACCAAGAGTTAGTGCAATTGTTTTCAAACCCACTTATAGTTTGATGATATTTTTACTATATAATTAAATTAAGACAATGAAATATGAGTGTGAAAAAAAAGACTATGTCTATAAAAACTTACTGAATGCTTTGGAAGACTAAAGAAGGGTAAAGTCACTAAAAGCTGAAAATCTATTATCAATTACATATATTGGGCAAAACAGCCATAAAACATTTTAGCCTATAAGGAATATGTTCTCAGATGACTCTGAAGGTATGTTAAAGTACTTGCTCCACTTTTACGAAATGAAGCTGTAATTTGTAGAGGAGGTATTATGAGGGTGACTTACAAGAACTCTTCTATCAACATACCAATAACTTAAAATGGGAGTGGGTGTTGGCACCATGTCAAAAGACTGACAAGTGAAAGGACATTTATACTCACATGTGTTCAATTAAAATACTTGAGACATACAACAATTTTTTTTTTTTTCATTTTCCATTTGACTATTTCTAAGTGGTCAGAAAAATCTTAAATCATTAATTTAATTTAGAGTGTTCCTATACTGTTAGTGCCCTTGGGGCTTGGCAAGAGAAAATACATTTCCTCTCAAGAGAAACTTTCTTCTTCTTGCACTGTATGCTTCAATTCCCATAAATAAAATTCCAAGGAAAATTATAGCTCACAGTAAAACCTAAGCAAACCCCGCAAAAAGCAAGGCACTGTGAGCAAGAATTTGCAGAAACAAAAAATACCAGAAACAGAACTAAAAAGACTTCAGGTAAAGGAATTACCAGACAGAGACAATAAAAGGTCTATGTTTAATATACTTAGAGAAATATTAAAAACTTCAAAATATTTGAAGAATAAAAACTGTAAAATGAAAAATAAAAAGAACTTCGAAAAATGAAAAATGTGATAAAATGAAATTTAAAACTCAATGAACAGATTTAACAGCAATTAAGCACAGCTGAAGAAAAAATGAGTGAACTGGAAAGCAGAACTAAAGAAATTAATCAGAATGTAACAAAGAAATGGAATACACGAAAGAGAGGTAACAAACATTAAATGAGAAGATCTAATAGGCATCTAACAGGCATCTTAGGCAAGGCAAAAGAGAGTGGGGTAGAGGCAAAAATTGAAGAGGTAATGTCTGAGAGTTCTCCAAAATCAAGGAAAAACACTAATCCATTGATTTAAGAAGCCCAAATAATCTCAATCAGAATAAATAAAAAGAAATCCACAAAGCCCACATCACAATGAAAATGCAGAATGCCCCAAAGATCCTAAAAGATCATTCTCTCTGTGGATGTGCTTAAGAGAAATCCTTAAGCGCATCCAAAGAGAAGATAGATTACATTCAGAAGTGACAACTGTGATACTGTCAGCTGACTTCTCATCATCCACAGAGAAAGCTAGAAGACAATAGGATAATATTTTCACATTTCTGAGAGAAAAATAACTGCCAACCTAGAAATCCATACCCAGCAAAAATATCTTTCAAGAAAGAAGCCAAAAGCCATCTTAAAAACACACAAAAAATAAAAACTGAGTTTGTTATCAGCAGGTTACTAAGCTAAATGTTAAAGAATATTGCAGATGGAAGGTACGAGATGCAAGAAGGTATAATCGAAGATCAGAGAAAGTGGACAAATGTGAACACTGAATATATACAATAACATCAAATGGAGTTTAAAAGGAAAAAGAAAAAAAAAAAGCATCAAATACTCAGTTACAATTGCACATAATTTGGGGGAGGGAGAAATGGGAAAAGGAATTAAAAGCTCTTATAGTGTTTAGGGAGTTAAAAATAATAACTTCAGCCACTGATAAGCATGCATCATGTAATTTCTAGAACAACCATCAAAAAATAGAAACAGTATCACTTCCAAAAAAAAAAAGAAGAAAAAAATACCTAATCAATCCAAAAGAAGGCAAGAAAGAGAAAAAGATGGGAGAAGTAAAGACAAAAAAAGAACCCAGACAATCTGACAATACATCCAAATATATCAATAACTACAATTAGGGCCGGCCCGGTGGAGCACTGGAGAGTGCGCCGCTTGGGAGCACAGCGGCGCTCCCGCCAAGGGTTCAGATCCCATGTGGAGACCGGTTCCCACTCCCTGGCTGAGCACGGTGCAGACGCAACACCAAGGGTTGCGATCCCATTGCCGGTCCCCGGTACGGGCGCGACACCGAGGGTTGCGATCCCATTACCGGTCAGTAAAAAAGACAAAAAGGAAAAAAAAACAAAACAAAACTACAATTAATATAAATGGACTAAATGCACCATGAAGACAGATTCAGGAGTCATCACTGATGACGGTCTTCCTAAATACTCAAATGGTGTCTAGAAAGGCTGACATTTTTAAGGAACTTAGAAGAGTGGTATGATACAGGGGATTTCTAATGGACCTGGAAAAGAAAATAAACAAATCTGATGCTACAGTAAACAACAGGGAACATGAAAAACAAAGGCTGATTTTTCAGAAGACATTTTAAGAAAACTTCACCCCACCTTTCTGAACATCAGAAATTATGTGCATACTTACTGATAACTGCAGAAAACCCGTAGAAGGTCTTCAGTACGAAATTCTTGGGGGAAGTCATAAATTTCAATGACATGTGGAAATTCACAATCACTGAGGTCAATATCAGGAACTTTATGGTTGTAATAATCAAATCTAGGTTCCTGGATACTTTCTCTGTTCTTCATATTCCCTGATAACTAGGGAGGAGGAAACACATAAAAGACAGTTACATCAAACCTGGGCATTGTAAAACATAAACAATCCTCCTTCTCCCTGTCTCCTTGTTCCCATTCCTTAACCTTTGGCATTGTCTCTGCATTAATTCTGTTCTTGGATGCAATGATGACCAGGGGTTTATCACCTAGCTTATATTATATGAGGGTACTTCAAAAAGTTCATGGAGGGCTAGCCGGTTGGCTCACTTGGGAGAGCATGGTGCTGGTAACACCAAGGTCAAGGGCTCAGATCCCAATACTTGCCAGCCACCAAAAAAAAAATTTTTTTTTCATGAAAAAATAGAATTAAAAGATAATACAAATCTTTCTATGAATTTTTTGCAGTACATGTGGAGTATCTGAGAAGGTGCTGAAATTCTAGAAGACAGCCAATGCATGAAACTTAACTTGCATCTATCAATCAGTGTGTGAGAGAATACAGACTAATTAATGTGATGAGTTACAAATGGTACAGTGAAGCGGGGTGGGTAGGAAGGACCACTGACATAGAGGGATTAGACATGGCAGTATGGAGGGCTTTAAAGAAAGGCTCTAAGATCTGATGCAGTGGTTACGCAGATTCTTTTGCAATAGACCTGGACTGTCCAATACAGTAGCTACATGTGGCTATGGAGTACTTGAAATGTGGCTAGCCCAAACTGAGATGAACTTTAAGTATAAAATACACACCAGTTTTCAAAGATTTAATACAAAAAGAATGTAAAATATATCTCATTAAAAATTTATTTATATTGATTACATGTTGAAATGATATTTTGGATATATTAGATTAAAATAAATTACTAATTTCACTTGTTTCTTTTTACTTTTTCTAATATGGATATTAGAAAATTCAAAATTATAAAGGTGACTCACATTTGTGGCTTGCATTATATTTCTTTTTTTTTTTAAAGATGACCGGTTAGGGGATCTTAACCCTTGACTTGGTGTTGTCAGCTTAAGATGACCAGTTAGGGGATCTTAACCCTTGACTTGGTGTTGTCAGCACCACGCTCAGCCAGTGAGCGAACCGGCCATCCCTATATAGGATCCAAACCCGCAGCCTCGGTGTTATCAGCACCACACTCTCCCGAGTGAGCCACGGGCCGGCACTTGCATTATATTTCTATTGCAGACAACTGAAACATTTATCTTAAGAGTACTGGGGAACAATACTTCCTAGACAGTCAATGTGAAACCTTCATCTTGTTAAGACCCATATATATTTTTTCTTTTTTATGGCTAAGAAATGTCTTGATAGAACATAGAGGGGAGAGGTTTAGAATCTGATTCATTCTGACATATCTATTATAGACCAAGGGAAAGTTTGCAAATGACTTAGAATAACTAATTTTGAGTTATAAATCACAAACATTTAACAATTTTTACAAGTTGTACTTATCTTGCTATTTATAAAGCATAAATGAAATCTGAGTATTCCTTCATATGCATAACAAGCTTCCACAAAAATATTTGGCTAAATTAAAATTAACTTCCCCAAACTGAGGGTTTTAAGACTCTTACAGCCATGTAGTCATGTCTTGAAAACAAGTCTATAAAATATTACCTGACTTTCTATGACGTAATTGCACTGATGTTTATTTGCACAGGGGGTAAAAAAAAAAAAAAAAAAAAAAAAAAAAAAAAAAAGAGTAGAAGGTCAATGAAGCATGGATCGTTGAACTTTTTTGTTTGTTTTTGTTTGTTTGTTGTTTAATCCTTAGTTCTTCAAGATACAAAAGGAAAAATAAAAAGTTTTGAAGTCACAAGCCATTTATTCCCTACAGACAAAAAATTAAAATACGCTATATTATTTTGGAGTAAGGTTATCTTTTATCTCTGTCAGATGAGCATGTCAGATGGGCTGTTGTTATTTTCCAGATTGTACAGACGGAGAATTATGTCACAAAGAGATGACTAAAGAATATCCCTAAGGTTACTTATCAAATTAGTGACAAAGCCTGAGTCATAACTCTAGTCTCCTGACCTTCCATAACACGATGAAATGGGCTTACAGTGAACAGAATCAGAAACAGTGGCTATAACAATGTTCGGGACAACTAATTCTCTTTGATTAAAGATTTATGGATATAAACTGTTCTAGGAGGGAAGAAGGAAGGAAGGAAAGAAAATATCAATGGCAAAGCTGAAAACACAACTGAGGGTTGCTAATTTCTTTCTAATCCTATATTCTAGACAGCATATAGACTATAAATTAAACTTCCAAAAAAACACTGCTTTGATCATGTTATTCTCTTGGTCAAAATCTTCAATGGCTGTATTTAAAGCCTTATAACCTGGCCCTAACCTACCTGAAGCAGGCAGAATAAAGATCTCCCAAAGATGTCCATGTCTTAATTCTTGTTACCTGTGATAACGTCACACAGGAAAATAAAGGTAGCAGATATAATTAAGGTTGTTAATCAGGTGACCTTAAAGTAGGGAGATTCCTGGATCATCTCCGTGAGCCTAGTGCAATCACAAGGGTCTTTCAAAGCAGAAGAACTCAAAGGCAGAAGAGTCAGTGTGTCAGAGTGAGACAATACAAGAAAGTGGCCATTGCTGGCTTTGCAGATGAAAGGGAGCCATGAGCCAAGAAATGCTGGTAGCCTCTAGAAGCTGAAAAGGAAAGAAAATGGATTCTCTCCTAGAGCCTCCAGAAAAAAATACAGCCCTGCCAGCACCTTGATTTTAATCCAGTAAGACTCGTTTTGTACTTCAGACCGCCAGAACTATAAGATAATAAACTTATGTTGTTTTAACTACCGAGTTTGTGGTAATTTATTACAGCAGCAATAGGAAACTAATATACTACTTTTCTGGCTTTATCTCATGTCATCCTTTAAAATATGCTATCTTCCAAGCAAAGAGTAATGCTCACTATCCCTAAACACATCCTGCTCCTTCCTATTGTTTTGGTCATATTATTTTGGAAGTACTTACACCTGTCAGTTTGCACATCTCAAAGTATCACATTCTCTATGGACACACTCAAGCATTACCTCCTCAATGAATCTTCCCTTAAATATTCCAAACAATGTATAATCTGACTTTTCTTCTGTACTTCTACAGATTTACCTCACTCGTTTGTACTTTTATAGTACACAAAACCTGATATTACAGCTAGACCTATCTCTCCCTTCAACCTTATCTTGACCACCTAACAACCCATCCAACAAACATTTAATGTATGGTTAACATACATTAGAAAAAGAACTTGAACAAAGAATTTTAATATGTAACAAAGTTATAAGAATGAAGAAAGTACCACCAGTGGGTAGAGGAAGAATAAACTTTGCTTACTCTTCTTCATTGCATGAGTAAAGAAACAATACATTAAAAAGGCACAGAAAGGTACTGTAGGTAGGAGGAAAGTGTACAAAGGCACGCAGCCCTGAAGGAGTATTATGGTATTCATTGAATAGTTATGTGGTTACTGCAAAGATAATATGAGGACTTGGGGGAATGTTATAGGCTAACTTGTGTTCCCCCAAAATTCATATGTTGAAGCACTAACCCTCAGTACCCTCATGATGTGACTGTATTTGGAGATAAAGTCTTTAAATAGGTAATTAAGTTAAAATAAAATCATTAAGGTGGCCAATCCAATATGACTGGTTTCCTCATAAGAAGAGGAAATTAGAAGAAGTTAGAAGACCCTGTGAATACATAGGGAGAAGATGGCCATCTACCAATCAAGGAGAGGTCTCAGAAGCAAGCAACTCTGCTGACACACTGACCTTGGACTTTCTAGCCTCCAAAATTGTAAGAAAATAAATTTCTGTTGCTTAAGCCATCAATCTGTGGTACTTTGTTATGGCAGCCCTAGCAAATAATATAGGAGCAAGGTTGGAAAGGAAGGCTGGAGTTTCAGTTTCCTCACCAGCATTCTGATTCTATAATTCAACTGTAAAGGACACATCTTATTTATTCCTATACTCCCCCACTGCACACTTTAGGCACTGCACAAACTAGGCATTCGATATATATTTACAGAATGAACAAAACACATATACCTCAAGTTATTTTGTCTAAATGCATGCTTACCAAGACTCATTCTATCAAGAGCCCCTTGTCAATAAGGATTTGATTTATACGATGTATATTTTCTAAGTGATTCTGGATGGCACTCGGAAATTTGAAAAAAAAAAATGACACTTTTTTCTTTCCCTTTAACAATAAACTTTAGTTGTCCTGGTTAATAAATCATGAAGAAAATCCAAATTATCAAATTATAAAGGAAAACAACAAAATTCCAAAATAAATCATCTAAACTTCTGAGAGTGACAAACTTAAGACCTGAATCTGGGAGCATTCTGTATTTCTTACAAGCTGTTCTCACAGCCTGGAATGCCTTTTCAGCTTAAGAACATTCCTCTCCCAAGACTCAACTTCAATCTTTATCTCCTCTTGAAGATTTCCCTATCCACTCCAATGTAATGGTCTTTCCCTTCCTTATACTACTATACCATAACACTTATTCTAAAACGCACCTTTTTTCACATTTTAACACCTCTGACATCAAGACACAGCTTACAATCAAGCATATTGTCATTGCTTGCCCACACATGCATAAGCATCAAAAGCACTAATATCAAAACTGGGAGAAAGGTCAGCAGTGTGAAAGAAAATCCCAGATATAAGAATAGCCTTATATGAGCGCAAAGGTGTCTTAAGAATCTAGCAATAATGATTTTGGTTCTTTTATGTATTCTTTTAAGAAATGCTGTACATCAAAGCTCTTGATGGCAAAGCAGATGATACTAGCTGAAAAAGCATCAATATTAATGACTGAATCAAGAAATTATTAGAAAGACTTGGGCTGTGAACATGAACTTTTAGAAAAATCTTAACCAATTTATTATATTTTCCTTTCAATGTATATAATAGAATGATATGTGATAAAAATTTATGTCTAATTAAATCTAAAAGAGTTCTTTCAATATGTACAAAATTAAAATTCTAAGAGAAAAGCACT